GGAGCAAGTACAGGTGTTTACCTATGCTGCCATCTTGGTTCTTGTACCATGCATTCTTTTTTAAAAAAAAATATATTTTTATTGATTTTTAGAGAGAGGAAGGGAAAGGGAGAGATAGAAGCATTGATGAGAGAAACATTAATTAGCTGCCTCCTGCATGCCCCCTACTGGGGATTGAGCTTGTACCCAGGCATGTGCCTGACCTCTTGGTGCATGGGGTGATTTTCAATCCATGGAGCCATACCAGCTAGCTCTTTTTTTTTTTTTTTTAAATGAGTGGACAAATACATGTCTTTATATATTAACCTTTACTGTCAAAATGTTCATATATCTGAGTTAGAACCTTTGTATTTAATGTTAATATCTTTTTCAGTTTTTTATCTGCTTTCGAAAAGTAATACCAAAAATTTTTTGGGAAGCTTTAACAATAGTAGTAGTATTTGCTTGATATTGCAAATAGGGTATTTATTTTAATCCTAATGTTAGAATGCCCCAGGGCTCAGTCTAATGTCTAATAACATATGTTCTTTTATTTATGGTCTTTCTTACCCCTGAAATGTTAAGTTCCATGATTTTTAAATTTTAATACCCAGTATTGGGAATGGTGCCTGGCACATAGTCAGTGCTTGATAGATGATTGTGGAGTGAATGAATGTTGAAATAAATAACTAGTTGATTTGGAACATTTGTAAATACCGCAAATATTTTTTTAAAAATATTTTGTCTGCTACTTGAATATAGTCTGGTTACAGTATAATCATTTTATAATCTTCAGAGTCCTTTATGAGTTGTCTTCTCATAGGACTGACTCTGTCCTGGATAGGAAAGATATTTTGCTATGGGGATTATATTTAGGGTGGGGACTATATTTATGGGGACTATATTTTTACTCAAGCTGCACAGTTGTTTTGTTTATCCATCTTTGGAAGTGTTCCTTAAAGATATTTTGAACCTAGATCTAGGGAAAACTATAGCTGCCAACTGAGATATTTGGTGTTAGGCTTTTTGCTGGTAGCAAACAAATCATGCTGCTGACTGACTTTTTGGGTTTAAAAATTGGCAAGGAGGGTATTTGTTTCTGAATTGATTTTTATTTATAAAATCATTTTAAGAACTGTTTGTATTAATCAAACCATAACAAAGTACACTTTTGTTTCTAGGTGAAAAATTTAGAGAGCTAATGGATAAGTTCCTGAGAGTTAACTTCAGTAAAGGCTGCCCACCGTTGTTTACTACTTTGAAATCTTTATATTACAATACAGAAAAGGTAAAATTTGGTCTTCATTCACTTTTGCTGTAGTCTTTTTACTAAATTATTTTAGAAAGATTTCCCTGTAAATAATATGCTATCTTATATAATAAAAGCCTATGTGGCGTTGTGCGATGTTTTCACAAGATGTCTGCCCCCACATCCTCACAAGATGGCCACCACAAGATGGTCACCACAAGATGGCCAGCAGGGGAGGGCAGTTGTGGGCGATCAGGCCGGCGGGGGAGGGCAGTTGGGTGCAAACAGGCCAACAGGGGAGGGCAGTTGGGGGTGACTAGGCTGGCAGGGGAGGGCAGTTGAGGGCAACCAGGCCTGCAGGGGAGGGCAGTTGGGGGTGAGATCAGGCCTGCAGGGCAGTTGGAGACGATCGGGCCGGGAGGGGAGGGCAGTTGGGGGCGATTGGGCCGACAGGGGAGGGCATTTGGGGGCAATCGGGCCAACAGGGGATCGGTTAGGGGCCATCAGGCAGGCAGGCAGGCGAGCAGTTAGGAGCCAGCAGTCCCGGATTGTGAGAGGGACATCCCCCACGGGGTCCCAGATTGGAGAGGGTGCAGGCTGGGCAAGAGGGACACCCCTGTGCATGAATTTTGTGCACCGGGCCTCTAGTCC